ATTTGGCAAGTCCCGAGCAAGGAGATAGTAAAGATCTTTAACGATACTGCAGAAACCGGAATCCCAAAAACCAGAGACCGAAGAACTGAACACAATAACCCTAGAGCAAGAGGGTTCACCAACCTGGCCGCCAGAGTCACACCGGAGGAAAAGGTCCTATGTTATGGAATTAGGAACCAAAGGAAGAGAACTATAGGGCACTTAAAGCCTAGGTATACCAACCTATCTAGGCTAACTGGATTGGAAGTTTGGAAGAGATCAGTATAAGAACCGGAAGAAAGTGGATATAGATATCGGGATTGAAACGAATCTTGTAAGGGCAGGAGAACCAGGAATTGTGCAGTTTAATGGTTAGCCCTGACTACTAGTATTGGTCTCAGCCATAGCAGACAGGTTCTCTGAATCTAATTCGGAAATATGTAGGATATAGAAGGATTAGGGAGGTACCCTTAACCTTACAGTCAGATAACGTACTTTGAAATGTGTAATGGCCTAACAGATGTAGAAAAAAGGAGGCTAAATGTTGGGTTAGACAGCACTTAGTTGTATAGGAACCAGGTGTTACTTGCCTGGTGTAGTATTAGGATCAGAGTGTTTAAATAGATAATCTCCTAGCAGATTACAGGTATAGCAGCTAGTGTAAAACCTTCGGGCGGACTACTTAAATTAGGTAACCAAAAGTTGCACGTGTGGCTGGTTGCACACTCACTTTGTACAAGTTATATGTAATGCATTAACTAAAAATACAAATAAAGGCAGTAGCCCCGTAATATCGGGCTTAGTAAATAAAAAAAAAAAAAAAAATCAATTATAATCAATAAAAATTTCTATCACATTTATTGCAGTTTGCAAAATTATGTGAAATTTGAAGATCATTAAAAAAAAGTAATTACTGATTTCTGATTACTGATTTCTGAGTTCTTTAATATTTTTTTTGATTTTTAGATTAGATAAAATTTAGCATATTTATTATTTTGTAAAAAATTTATTATTTTTATAGAAGCATATTTATCATTTTGTAATATGTTTGCAGAAATAGGAGTTGTGCATTAAAATATTCAATCAAATTTTTACAAATGATAAATACACAAATTTTGTCTTGTCTAAAGTCAAAAAAAATGTTAAAGAAATCGAAAATTAGTGATTACCTTTTTTTTTAATGATCTTTAAATTTCACATAATTTTGCAAACCGCAATAATCAATAGGGTAATAATAATCAATTAAAGCTATTAAATTTTAATCAATTACAATAAGTTTAAAATTTCCTGATAACAATTTATGATCTATATCATTATCTAAAAAAATATAGCAATTATCCAAACTTTTAGATTATTGTGATAATAGAATTTAAGTTGCTCTCTGGTTTTTTTTAAAACATCTAGGTTTTTTAGAATAACTAATAATGAAGGGTTAAAGCTTATATGTATCCTCAGCATTAGATATAAGTTCAACCATAAGTTATATATAATCTTTTTTTGACTCTTCAATTTGGCAAGATACAATAGTATGATCAGGAGCTATAGAATAGAATAAACCTGTCTTATCTATGTTGTAGATATCACAAAGTGTACATTTATTGGTTATATAAATAATATTAGAAAGGTTTAGTTCAATAGCAGCAGTGTCAGCAGAACCACTCTTACTATGCAGTCTAAAGTAATGAAAATTATAGTTTTTCTGAAAAGCTTGCAACCATCTATTTGAGAACTCTGGTTGGTTATTTTCAGGAATTTTTATTAAATCTGCCAATTTTTTACTTTTGGTTTTGATCATATCTCTATTTAGATGTATAGCTTTGTTTTCATATTGTAAAACCCAATTCGCCAAAGTGGTATCTAGTTTTAAGAATATAACAATATGGTGTTTTTTAACTCCAAGATCGCTTTCAGACTTTGTACTAAACTCTTTTTTTCTTTTTAGAATATCTGAAATTGTACTTTAACCCAGGCTTTTGATAGATTAAATTTATTTTTTGCCTACTTTGCAAGTTTTTTTTGAGAAAGTTTGGGATTGGCTTGATAATGATCATATATTTGTTTTCATTAATCATTGCGCAAATTTCTAATTAAAATAATTTTATCTTTACTTTTCCCTATAATTATTAACAGAATAAAATTTTAAAAAAAATATATGAAGGCAAAAAAAAAAGAACTGAAAAGTTAAAAACTATTAAAGGTAAATGTAATATTCTATTAATTTTTTTTTATATGAATTTTTTTATTCTCACTTTTTTTTATTATAAAATCTTGAAATATTTGGTATCAGCATATTATTTATAGTATACTTATGTCTTTATTGTTACCATATTATTTTTCTACTATGATAATTTGAATTATAGAATGCTCATAGCATTATTTGAAATAAGTATGCTATTTTTAATAATCTGGTTTTCAAACAATACCAACACCCATTATTTCAAGTTATTATAGTAATCTAACTATGATTCATCCTTTTTTTTCACTCTATTTTTCTTTTTTTTTCTCTTTTCGCTTTTTTTTTTTTCTTCCCTTTTCCCTTTTCCTTTCTCTTCATTTTTCTCTTTTCTTTTCATTATTTTTATTTCTTTTTGTTTTTTCCATTCATTTTTTTTCATTTTTTTCTATTTCTTTCTTTTCGTTCCTTTTTTCTACTTATCTCTTTCCTTTCTTTTTATCTTTCTTTTTGTTTCTCCTTTTTTTTGTTTTTTTCTTTTTCCTTCTTTTTTCTTTCTCATTTCTTTCTTTTCATCATTGCAAATGTCATCGTTGATGCTGCTGTTAGATTTTTTTCTTGGTGTGTGGTCTCGTATATTTTTCTGGTAAGTAGTCTTGCACGTTTCTTTGGTAGTAGTTTTGTACGTTTCTTCAGTGATAGTTTTGCATGTTTCTTTGGTAGTGGTTTTGTATGTTTCTTCAGTAGTGGTCTTGCACGTTTCTTCGGTTGGATATGGTGAGTTTTTATTGTTTTTTTTTTTTTTCTTTTCTTCTATAGTTATTAATGTTTTATACCATGTTTGCTATCATTTGTGCTCACATTATCTGTTGGTGGCTTCGATTTGATGGTGCTGTCATTTTTCTGACATACCGTTGTATCTTCATTTTCTTGGTTTTTTGTCATTGCCTCAATATCATTTAGTATCATTGGAGTTTATGATTTCGCTATAGTTTTAGATATATTATTGGTACTTATAGATTTGCTATAGCTTTTTTTGTCGTTGATGCTTATAATTTTACTTTGGCTTTAAGTCGTTGGTGCTTATTGTTGTATTGTAATAAGAGTTAATATAGATTAGTGTAGATTTTAGAGTAGGGTTAGGGCCAGATTCAGGTTAAAGTTCAGGTTAGAGTCACATGTTTGTCACTTTGTATATGTGTTTTTTTTTTTTAGTTGTAGTACGATTTATCATTTGTTGTATTTTTAATAAAAAATCTTAAAATTCTTAAAATTTTTTTATAAAATTTGCAATTGATATTGATTGGTCAGTTACTCACGTGTTTATGTGATCGATTTTGATTAGTTGGTCATGAGGATGCATAACTATGCAGGGATACGAAATTCTTAAACTCATAAAATATATATTTTTTTAACTATATACTTTTTACAAACTGTTCTTAATAAAGGTATATTTAACTTCTACATTACTACTGTATATTATTATAACAGATTACTATAACTATGTGCTATATTACTTGTACTATATCAGTCACCCAATTTGTCACAAATTTTATATATAGAGGTTTATATATATATAAAATTATAACAAAAACATATAGAATTACTTATAAACTTTGAAGCTGAAATGTTTCTTCTCTTACATATTAACTTTAAATTAAATTTTACAAATAAATACATCAAGAAGAGGAGAATAAAAGTTTTTGAAGCTGAATTAAAATTTTGCAATTTTTGTACAATTTAAAAATATAACTCTGCCAAAAAAAAAAATTTAATAGTTTTAAAGCAATAATTATATATAAATTATACCCTGAACAACTTCTGTCTAAGTGTACAAAAAAGTTATCTTAGTAAAAAAAAAGTTTTCTATGTACTAATGTTAAAATTTTCAGTTTTTCTATGTAAACCTTTTTTTTTCTGCTTAGATAACCTGTTCTGACCTCTTAATAAGCAAATTTGTTTAGCACACAATTTTACGTATTTTGTGTCTTGCCAATTTTGTTTTTTTTTGAACATTTTATTAAATGAAAGATTGGATCAAAGGGTACACAAAAAGTTTTTTAAAATTTTTTTTAAAAAAAACTTTTTTGTATAATCTTTGATCCAATCTTTCACTTAGTAAAATGTTCAAAAAAAACAAAATTGGCAAAATATAAAATATGTAGAATGATATGCTGAACAAATTTGCTTAAAAGGTCAGAACAGGTTATCTAAGCAGAAAAAAAGTTTTATATAGAAAAACTGAAAATTTTAACATTAGTACATAGAAAACTTTTTTTTTACTAAGATAACTTTTTGTACACTTAAACAGAAGTTGTTCAGGGTATAATTTTACATATAATTATTACTTTAAACTATTAAATTTTTTCTTTTGGCAGAGTTATATTTTTAAATTGTACAAAAATTGCAAAATTTTAATTCAGCTTAAACCACATTTTTTTTGACTTTTCTTGATGTATTTATTTATAAAATTTAATTTAAAGTTAATGTAAATGAAAAAACTATCAGGTTTCAAAGTTTATATGTAATTTTATATGTTTTTGTTATAAGTTTATATATAAAAAAAATTAGATGTGATATATCATGTGACTAATATTAAAAAGCTATAGTCTACTTATAATAAAATAATGAGATTTTATAAAGATCATCCTGGATGATTTTATTAAATATCATCCATAGTAATAGCATATATATTGGTTACACAAATCGAATTAGTATTATTTTTTTGCTTATATTGTTTATTCTTCTTTTTTCTTTTGCTAATTAGTTTTTTTTTATAGAGCTATGTTGCGTTATTGGTTATTTAAATAAGTATTAGATTTTCTTTATTTTGTTACTTTTGCTTCTTTCTTTTACTAACCAACCTTTTCGTTATTAGGTCATTTTTTTGTCATTTGCCAGTATAGTTATATTCGTTGTATACTGGTGTTGTCGTTTATAAGTATTAGTTTCTTTTGTTTTGCTTACTTTCTCTTCTTCTTCTTTCTACTAACTGGCCTTTTTTGTTTATATATCGTGTTGTTATTTCATCATCATATACTGATATCATCATCATTGGTGCATTTTGTAGATTCATATTATTGTTGGCAGTATTATTTTTTTATTGGCATTAAATATCGGTTCATTAGTTTCATAGCTAGTTAATGTTATACCGTCTATTTAGTAGCTTCATTAGTATCATAGTAGGTGTCATAGTTGGTACTGTAGTTGTTGTCTTAATTGGCTATTTCTATTGTTGTTTGCATCTTTGCTAATATTTTCATTTAGTCATCGTTGGTATTGTATTTGGCATGTAATTATCATCGTTCCACTTGGGTGATCGCTTGTTGTGTTTCTGTGTCTTTTATTATTGTTGATGTTATCATTCTTGGTATTTTCTAGTCATTGTTAATATTGTTTGTGATTGTAGTTCTTGTTGTTTACTGTTACTGGGCAGTTTAGAGATTAGGGTTAGAGTTAGTAGATAGTTTAGAGGTTAGAATTAGGTTAGCTAAAGATCAAAATTAGGTAGAATTGTTGGGTTTTAGTACTAATATTTGGTATAAATTTTTGATTATTCTGTTTGATATTTTAAAAACCTTTGTTATTCGATAATATATATGCTATATGATAATAAAAAAAAATTTTTTTTTTTTTAATATTAAGGTGAAGTTATATCTCTAGTTTTTATTAACATATAGCTTCAGCAATTACAATTATATATACATATATATTAACTTTTACAAACTACAGAGACTTAAACTAATTTATCTACAATCTAAACCTACTAGAGTGGTCTATACTTTACACATGTATCATCTAGCTTTGTACTTTCTAACTAACTATTTCTAATAACTACATATTCCCTCCATGTCTCATATAACCAGTCATAATTTCCAAGTTGGTATATTATATATCTGCTCCTAATGAGCTTTCAAATTTGTATACCTGCAAATACGATCTACTGCAAATCTTCTAATGGGTTCTATTAGTGTAATCATAATTGGTGCAGATAACCTTTCTATAGCCTTGTATTTCAAACCAGAAACTTGTTGCCTAGTTAGATTCACCACATGACAAAGTTGGTTTTACATAGCTGAGTATGCCAATTGGCAGAGACTCTTCTACTTATCTGCCCAAATACTACTAACCCATATCTCAAGCCAAGTCCTACTACCACTACTGGTTTGTCACCCTAGAACTTAACATTTTTTTTCTGGTATAGTAATACTAACTAATTCATTTGTATTTCTTCATATAGTATATTATTAGAACTATATTTTGTAGAATTAAAATAAGTCTAGGTTCTACTTCTAGCTATAGGCTTTGCATCATATTACTAGAAGGCGTACTCCAATTCATATTGACTTCCAACTTGAACTCTCATCTATTGGTTGGTGTTGTATTATCATTAGTATATTCTGGCTTCTTTCATTATCGACTTCTATATAGGTATAATCAGAGCTTTGACTTGGTACCTTTAGATATACTAGATTAGCTAGTCTACCTCTATGAAATTACCTTTTTTAGTTAATTGTTTCATAGTACCAGAGGTGCTTCCAAATCTAATAAAGCCAATCCTTTACCACAGCCCTTTCACATGTCTATCGCTTCTCTCAATACTCTAGTTTTTGGTATTGTTATATCACTCTTCTAAGCAAGTATCCAATATCAATTCAAATTAGAACTAATATGCACGATTTATTAATCATCCTTCTAAGCAAATATCCCACAAGTTGGATGCAGGGATGTTGGTATTGCCTAAAGCGGAGACAAAAAGATATTGGTATTGCCTTTAGATTACCTCAACCAGAGAACTTACATGTGTGATCTTCTATCCCTTAGATTGTAAC